GGGGAGCTTCCTCACCTGAATATATTACTCAAATGTGTCACATCAAGTTGTGTTACAAAATTACAGGGGCACATTGCAGCGTGCAGAGAGGAAAATCCGCCACGAGGAGACAGCTTCCTTGTCACATGACATAGAGAGCCTATGTGACCACAGGTCTACATTGGAGATGATGAGTCTAGAGGAGGTAGTCAAGCGCCTATATATCTATGGCCCTAAAGGTTTTATCGTTACGAGCTTCCCAAATTTTCCATAAGACTGTGAGCAATGCGAAAGACTAGGCGCTAGCAAGCGCGTGTGGGTGAGGCGAGGCATCCCAAAGGTCGTCGATGGAGTCTGAAACTGATGTGATGCCAACGGTTGCCAAATGTGGGCGGCGAGGGGACATACGATGAAGAGGTGGGAGACGTCTTCGGAAGGCTCCAGACACCGCGAGCAAGCAGCGTCGGAGATGATGTGCTTGTGGACGAGGTTGGCACGCGTGTTGAGCCTGACCCGGAAGAGTAGCCAAGCAAAGACCTTGATCTTTTTAGGTACCTTGGAGCACCAAATAAGTGGTGTGTTCCCGTCGACTTCGGTTGCCTAGAGGAGTACATCATAGGCGCTCCTATTGGAGAACGCAGGCCCCCCAATGAGAAAGCATTGATCCTGGTCTGGCGACGGCATAAAATCCTGCAACACAGTCAAACACGAAACCAACTCTTACGAAGCGGCAAAGGTTAAACGATTTTCGCAGGTTAGCCTCCAATCTGAAATGCACAATATTTGCAACCCTAATCACGGGCACCTCTGAGTGGGATAAGAGGCAGTGGAATGTGGCAGCTAGTGGTTTTGGGGTGAGCCAGGTATCATGCCAGAAGTAGGTTGAGGTTCCATTGCTGGTAAGCATAAAGGTTATATTTTGTAAGGTAGGCATATGGTGGTCTATTGATTTTGCATAGGTAGGATGTGTTGGAGGCAGGGTTAACAAAAGCATTCGGGTGCTGCAAGCTTAACCAATCTAGTCTACATAGATGTGCTAGTAAGCGAGGAGACGTATTGAAGACATGACATGACGTCGACCTTATGATGAGGCTCCCCAAATCTAGCATTCTAGAGAGTGAAGTCATGTAGAATATCCTGGACCGTTACATTCTCAGAGTGGCGGTTAGTAAGAAAGACAATCGAATCTTTGGGATCCCAAATTTTCCATAGACAAAAGAGATCTACGATGGCCAAATGTCGTTTTCTAGATTGGGCGGTGTGGACATCTCTCAGATGCCGCCGATGGAGGTGGGCGTGTGCATGCCAAGCTTAGCCCAAAACGGCCCCTAGTTGGGGCGGGTGAGAAAGGCGTGCGTCGTGTCTTCGAGGGGTGCACCACACCTGGTGCAAACGGTGTCAAGGATGATGGCTTACGAAAAAAATTCGCCTTGTAGTTGAGGTGGTCCTTGAAGATTAGCCAGCCGAAGACCTGCACTTTAATGGGGACACGGGATGCCCAAATAAGATGGTCATTATTGTCATGGTCGGGCTAACCAGTGAGGAGGTGGTAAGCGTTCTTGGTGTGGAGAACGACATCCCCTGAGTGAAGTACCTATCATCGATTGGCGACGTCGTTGTGGTCGAAATCCTACAACAAAGAGAACACAAGCAACAAGCTCGGCAGAGGCAACCGCGGTAAGGTGATTCCACAAGTTAGCTACCAGTCTATTCTACATGACTTGTGGGTCCCAAATAGTGGGATTGCAGGCAACAAAATAATCTCACGAGTGACCTCGCTGAATACCAAGTTATAACGAATATGATGAGGAGGCTCAGGGTTATCAATAAAGTGGTGCTCTATCATGGATTGATGATCTAGATAAACTTTAGGTGTCATGATATCATCAGGACGAATAGCAATATTAAGGCGTGCAGCGAACCGAGTAGAGTGTGCAAGCGGCATGCAACAATGCCTCCCAAACTATAAGTTCTATCACAATGAAGTGCACAACGTAAAATGGCAAGGTCAGGGGCACTAAGCGTACCGCCCTCCTTCCTAGCAGTCAAACCTTTCCCTATGAACAAACAAAAGTAATGCAGGGCAAGAAAATGCAGACTAGTAACTCAGGCCTAAGACACACCCCTAGACTCCCCCACAGTTAAACCAAGGAGGAAATCCTCGAACTCCTTGGGTCGGGGTTTCCTCTCGAACTCCTTGGGTCGGGGTTTCCTCTCGAACTCCTCACGTCGGGGTTTCCTCACTTCCCCTCAGAGGGAATCAAGCATATCTCACAAAATTCAGGAAATGTCATCTTAAAGTGTCCAACATATAAGTCAAAGTGTACAATGGAAG